CAGTGTGCTTTTTTGATTGCCTCTAGTAAGTTACTTTATCCACATTTATTAAAAGCTGTCAACTAATATAACTAACATTCACCAGTAAGAGGCAAATTACTGTACTCAAAGCAATAGCAGTAGGAATGAAGTGAAATTCTAGTCTTTGTTACACAGATTTGCAGAGGTGTTTTTAATTACCTCTTTCAGCTTTAGACATATGTGCTTTTACTTATCAGTCTTCATCTCTATTTAACTTCTAACTTCTATGAAAAAGGAACTTTTACTTAATAAACACCTATGTCTTGAGTATGTGGTTTTTGCAGTTCATTCTATCTTTGCACAGTCCCAAATCTTAGTTCTATGAAATCTTCCATAAGACATCAAGAGAGACTGCCAAATGCAAGGCTGGCAGGATTCTTAATGCATAGCAAGCAAGAGCTTCTTGTACTGTAAAATAATTCAAAAGCTTCAAGCATTTATCTGTCACCCTGTTTGGTAATGTCATCTCCTGACCATAGGAAAAAAAAAACCTCATCTCTAGCACTGTTACTTTTCCTTTATTTCTGAAAGAAATTATCCTGATAAAGAACTTGGACAAAAAGGATGGAGGCCACTTAAAATGAAGAGTACTAGGCAGTATTGATATAGATTGTGCTCCCTCCTTCGCTTCTTAGAGTAAGAGTGGTTTGTTTCAAAGTTCAAGTACTACACTGCAGTACAGTTACTGCAGTATTTCATTGATTCCACCCTCAGCCACTACAGAAGCTGCTGTGGCAGCAGTAAGGCAGAGTGATCCTTACACATATATTCAGCAAGCTGAAGGTCTAATAAACGCATGTCAGCTTAGCAGTAAGCCTTGTTACCTTTATTTCTACTCAACAGAAAAGCTGTAGCTAATAGAAAAGCTTATGCTTATTTTTGAGTTTCTAAGACATTCTTAGATGTTTGTAGCGCACATCAAGGCCATACATTGCTTATAAAAAAAGTTATTCTTGCACCATTACCCTTTGTGCTCTGAGGTCAAAAAAGCTTTTCTGTTATGAAATCATACAGTGATTCATACAGTGAAGATTGTCAAAAGCGGCAGTATTCAAGGAGAGAAATACTAGTCTAGATCAAAACTCGAGCAAATCAGAAGTCCAGAGGCCTTATTAAGTCCTACAGTCAGATAAGAGCCTGTGGAATACCTTGAAGATATACATCATTGGGTGTTATTGTAGTCTCAAAAATAATCTTTAACTAATTACTTTTTCAAACATGCAGTATTGTCAGTCATATCTTTTATGTGTAAATGAAGACTAACTCCACAGTCCTCATAACAAGTCTAGACAGAGGAATGTTTCTTAAGACAACTGATGTTAATAGAAAACTAATAACCTTATAATTTTTGTCTAGCAGCTGCAATCATTTGAGCTTCTGAATCTTCACACTCTAAAGGGTCAGATTTCAGTATGTAATACTCAGTCCACACCATCAGTATAAATTCTGACTTCATATTAACAAACTTCATATTCAGAGGATTCCATCATGTGTATTTGCTTCTTCTATTGCAACTCAAATCCTTTCCCCTCATGAAGAACCTGACACAGCCATCATGGCCATGAAACCATGGAAAGAATTGTCCCAGGAGCACAAGGCCATTCAGAGGTTCTTGTTTACAGCAGTCCATTGGAAAGACTTAACCTTCTTCTAGCTCACTGAAGTGCTGCAGTGACTAAGAAGAAATTAAGAGCTTGCCTTCCCCTGCCTTCAAAGCTTAATTTCATCATTTACCTGCTTTCTTTCAAGTCAGTATTCTGATACTTGCAAGTGATTATTTTTCACCTACCCATAACCTTTTTGCATATTTGTGAACATGAAGAATTTCTTGCTCCTAATAAATATGTTCCAGTGTAACTAGGTCATCTAGTTTCTGTACACTACCCCAACATCGCTTTCTTTCTTCCTTTCCGAACACTTGGCACAAAAATGCATTTGGAAGTAGCAGCTACTCCTCTCACGGAAGGAACAGGTTAGTCTTTTAGCACATAGTCCATATTTCCTCATATGACAGAAAAGGATGTTGGAGAATAGCTCAAATGGAAGAGCACCAAGCACCCACATGTGCAAATCACAGCTTAACATAACCACTGACCTGAGCCTAGTTTTACAATGGAAGTCCTTTTCTGAGTCACTCCATTCCAGATCACAACTGAAGACTCCCACTTGGATATACCTTACCATACAAAGAACACTCCCTTCAGAGCTGGGTCATCTGCAAAACCCTTTCTGTGCAGGTGCAGCCTGTTCAGGTGACACTGGGATGGCTGGTGACAGGTCCTGCATGCATATCTATAGTCACCGTTCTCTGAACTTAATGCAAAACCAAGGGCAACCTGCTCCTCCAGCAGAGACCAGGAAGCTCCTAAAGAGTAACAGGTAACCACTCAGGTGAATTTATTTCCTTTGGACTGTTTTCTGGATGCATTAGGCCACTCCTTAGAGCAGCTGAAGGCTTGTTCCACCACAGCCAAGAGACCCTACCTTTCTCAACCAGGGTGTTACAATGGTTTACACTTGGGCAACACCAGATGCAAAGCTGCAGTCAACCTGTGAGTGTTCTCGATGACAGTACTGGTGACAGTTGCTGAAGCAGATAGACCTCACCACTTTATCAGAAAGAATTTAACGTAGTACGCAGAACAGATTAACAGCACCAGTACAAGCTTACATTTTGGTTTACTTTTTTGGGTGGACTGGACAGCAGTGATTCAATGATGACAAATATAAATTCTTGCCTGGGAAGCCATAAACATGTTAGCAAAAAGGCTTGATATATCAAGTAGCTGGACTATGAGAAAATCAGAGAAATCATCTGACAAAAGCTAAGTTTGCCTCAAAAACCAAAGGCAAACTGGTTTCCATCAAGATACACTCAGCCTGGCCAGAGGCCACTGACAAGTGTCTACACTTGCAGAGACAGGAGCCTGAAATGCTTCAGAACGGGCTGTACCATAAGCAAAAGTATCTCTTTCTTCTTCTTGATATTCTACAATTCAGTGCACTGAGGAAAAGCCCCACAGGCACTGCAGCTAGCCATGTTAAGAGAATATATCCTATACACTGATATGTATGCACACAGGTGGGAATCCATATAATTTATAATTTAGTTAAAGATTGTGTTAAGTGCTTGGACACAGCAACCACTATGAATTACACATGAATCATGTAACTAACACTTGAAACAATTTAGTTATTAGGAAGTCACCCACCACTTCCCAAGTGCTTCAAACCAGACGCGCGGTACCAGCATTCAAAAGAAAAGTGGCACACTTCCTCAGCCCTTCTAGCTTTTCAAGTTACTTCATTCTGAAGGGACTACAGAGAAACAACAGGACCCCACAGTCCCATGAATATCTTGCAGTTCCTCATCACTACCTTTTGTCATCAATATGCACTCTCTCAATATGGCTCACTCCAAAGCAGAGCCTGCTCACCTGAAAGCACACTTCAGGATAATTTAGCACTGACTACAGAAGAACAACCCTTTTTAACAAATATAGCATTAAGAACAACTATTTCTATAAAGATATAGGAGGAAAGGTGCTGTGGAGAACTCCCAACAACAAAACTAACAAGGTCGCTTGAGTTTTAGCAGAATCAATTGGCTTATCTTTGCAAACTTGTGCCTCTGTCTGATAAAATAACCAGTAAAAGACAGTCAACTCTTTGTATCTTTCATTTGAAAATATTGCAAAGAAGGATTTTCCCAACACTTAATTCTGTTTGGTGTAAGGAAAAGCAGGTTTTATTTGGAATGTATGCAGTGTCCTGGCAAAAGAACCAGGTTATTGTATTACCCAAGGTGAAACTGTGACAACCTTAGACAGCTAATTGGTGCAAATAAGAGGGGAATGGAAGCACCCCACCAGTTAAAAAAGATAGGAAGAGTAGCACACAGTGGAGTTCAAAAACAGACCCAACAGATATGTAACAGGTCCTGATTCCATCTGGAAAAATGAAGTATGCCTCGCTTTAGAATAAATCACCAATCTACCTAATTATCATCCAGAGATCAAAGCAATGAGACAAACAGATAAACCTTCCCTGTGCAAATGGGCAAGCTGAACCTCAAGAGACATGAGTGACAACATCTACTCAGCCACAGCTAGGCAAGATTTAGTTTTCTTACTCTGGATGGCTGTATGCCAACAGACAATCATGGCCTAAATTACAGTCTTCAGAATTCATGTTTTGAGACACAGGGAACACAGATCACAGGAAAGCACTCATATCACACACAACTCAGATTCAGAACGAGAAGGGAGAATGCTCCTTCTGAAGAAGGCCCTAGAATCTTAATTACAGCATTTAAGCTATGGCCAGAAAGATAAACTAAAGGGAATCCTACCTCATTTTGTAAGGTACTTACTGATTTAGAGAAGATAAAAGTACGCAAGAAGTTCCCCTCTCCAGTTGAAAAAAACGCAAACACTAAGGCCAGACTTGTCTAACACAGACATTCTGAAAGATACTACTAGCAAAACAGAAGGTAAAGTTCAGGTCTCGTTATTGCTTCAGCTCGTGGCAGAAGAATAAGCAGCACAGATTTCCCTGCAATATCATCAGAAGTGTGATTACACACAAGTCATTAACCAAGACTAAACACAGGGTAAAGCACACGCTTGGAACAATTTGAAACCAACAGCCAAGCAAGGTCTGAGCAAGTCCAAAAAATTTTGTGCACTGTCCTAGCTAAAGCAGACAGGAAGCTACCTCTGTTTTTACGCTGAGCACATACTGTTTTTAAATTTTATTGCCTTAGTCTCCCTCCATGCTGTAACCATATATATTCAAACAATAATGGAACAGAAGGATGCCAAATCCTTACCTGTTAGCAAGTAAAACGCAAAAACTAAAAGATAAACATTAAAAACATTACCAAAAAAGGCATGTTGCTGCTGCAATAACTGCTATTTTCCATCATGGTTTGAGAAACAATCAAGACACTTTTATAATGAAACTCAAAACACTTATACTACACTCGAGAGAGCACTATTTATTCTGAGACAGTCAGAAGTGATTAAGTCTATTAATAGAGCCAGTTATATACAGTAAATACTTCCTGATATAACTGTATAAGACATATGTCACAAAACAAAATAATCTCCAAGGATATTAATGCTAATTTAAACAGGAAGGTAAGTTTATAATGAATGACAGCAACAACCTGATTCATCTTCCTCACAAATCTTTTATAACTCCTCAGTGGATTTCACACACAAAGAATGAATGTCACAGTAAGTTTCCACAGAAGTATGTGGATGACAATACAGAACTCACTGTTTTCAAGAGGTAGATACAAGGCTTAATTGGTGCAAAAATGTAGACTTCACTCAAGAGCATGGTCACACTGGATTGCATGTGCAATGACATAATGAAATTGTTTTAACTACCCTGCTGTCTTCTCAGTGACTGCCTGTCAACTCACTGAACGAGGGAATGCTTGCTTAATTAATAGCAATGCTAGTCTAGATGATGGCTTATGCTTTTACTTAAATAGAATAATCTTGCTATAAATCTAGTACAGGGCTTACACTTAAAAACAATGCTTAGTTGGTCAAGAAGGCATGATTCATCCACTCTGGCAGGTGTGAAGAGACAATGAGCTACTGCATATATTACTGGTCTAGCCACTTTCAAAACACACTCCTGCTTGAGTGAAAGTCTTTTACCAGAGAGGTCCTGAGGGTTAAATCCATTGCCCTTTGATATCAACTGACATCACTATTCCTCAGTTTTAAGTGACTGCGCTTTCAGCCATTTCGAAGAGCACTGTGGAATGTGGCAGTGTCCAAGCCCTTCAAAATAAACTTAATTCACATCAATTCCTGCTAAATACACTGTAGGAACTCAAACCTATATGAAGGTATTACACTTTAGTCCATGTTGCAAATGCACTAAAATACCTTCACATAAAGAAGACTCAAATTCCATTGCATGCAAGTCAAACTTGATTAAACAGGTTGGGTAACAGCCTTTCAGGATTCTCCCAGTACGCTCAAACCTCCGTAAGGCCACGTGAGCAGCATATCAACAGCAGCATTGATAAAAGATGGCAAAAGGGTGCATGTGTATGTACACACACCCACAAATCCCCCCCCCCCGCCAAACACACCTCCAAAGCTTTCCCTTCATGTTCAGGATTCCTTGTACAACCAATACAGTTAGTGGGTAAAACGCACCCTACACCTCCTCAAAACAAGCTCACACTACATCAAATCTCACCTCCCACAGAAGCTGTTAAAATAAACAATAAATGCAACAGTAAGGAAGAACCCTCAAATCAGCTTTAGGTAAGCCAACCTAGTTTGTCTCTAATGCACCCTTTTAGTTAGACAGCAAACTACAATGAAGGGTGAATTCCATTCACCACTTCCCACATCTCCACTCAACTCATATTACTCATCAGAAATGGAGTGCAACACAAAATATTCCTCTTTTTCAGTTTTTGAGCTCAGTATGAACTGGATAGTGGACTGGTATAAAAGTTGATTAACAGAAGGACAAACACTAGAAGACTACTTAACTGCAGGCAACAGGGTCGAAATTCAATTTCAACTACTATGTTCTCCAGTTTTCATGGCTAGGTAGAACTAGATAAATCAACTTGTTAGCAAGGGACAAATAGCTTCATTGGAAAGGACAGAAGTTTTACTCCTTAAAAGCATCAAACTTACGTCAACCATCCTGTTGCTAGCCTGTATTTGGAATTTCCACTTGACTGCAATTGATGTGTTGAAATGAGCAGTTTTGTTTCCTAAACTGCTTGTTCAGTAACAGATCAGAAGGTGACAACAGGACAGATGCCAACCTTAGAGCTAACATAGAAAACAATTTGGTCAAGCTGATCTGGAAGTAATTCCAAACTGAAGAAGGAACAACTGAGAAACTAACTGGATTCCATCAATAAAGTACAGATAAAAGGGCAACCATAGCTACCAAGTCCACCTATGATAATGTGGTTTTGGCCCTCAATTTTCACACAAGTGATCAGTGTGTAAGAATTTCCAACGACGAGTGCACTGAACTTTGCAGAAAATCCAAGCGAGAAAGCAATAAGGGCAATGACATACATGTGGGTTTTTTTATTTCTGTATGCAATGTAATGTTTAGGCACGTTGCTTGGGACGCCTTCTAAAATAAATCATTGGCCATCGTTTAGAGTATCATTTTGGCTTTAAATACTGGTCAGGAAAACAAATGATGTAAAAAATAAATGAATATTACAGAAACAAAAATGGATTTGCATCTAAAAGTGCAGGAGTATTTTAACCCTTTCACCAGACAATGTGGCAATATACAGTATATTGCTTCTGTTTGTTTGAGAAGGCTGTTGGAATTTTACACTGACATAGAAAATTATAAATTACACAGAATTAGTTTCCATAATCACTATATATATACACAAACCAGCTGTGAAAAAACTGGTTTAGAACATACAAATGAAAGCCTCACACAGATCAGTACAGTGAAATTAACAATTAACATGCTCTGCTGCCAAAATTTGTATTAAAAACACTATTTACTTTTAAAATGCATGTACTGTAATTACATTAGCAGCACGGGCATTTCATTTACTTGACTTGTCTAAAAGGATTATAGCGTTTTAAATACGCAGATTGTTCTGAAATGTTCCATTGTATAATGCTTGGTATTGAAACTAAATCTTGGTGAACTGTTTAAAAGGCAGGTGAACCACTTAAACACAACAAGCCATGTGCACTCCAAATATTCTAGTGTTTCACCTGTAAGGTATTGTTTCAAGCAAACTAGACTTAACAGAACATATGGCTTTACAGTAACATCAATTTGTCAACTAAGCTGTTGCAATAAATACTTAAAATCTCTACCAATAGACTTACATTTTTTGATCTGTTTTGAACAATACAGAAAACAATTACCAATTAAAAAACCTGTTGTAAAATGTTGAACACCAAAAAATTCTTATTTAAATCACTTTTGTAAGCTAAAACAACCAAAATAACATTTATAGGGCATTTCAGTTTCAGAAAAAACATGAATTTTCTTTTTCTTTTTTACAAGGTGAAAAATGTAAGAAAACTGCTAAATACTTTGGTCACACTAATCGTCAAATAGTTATGTCTCAAATACATTAGATTTTTGTATTCACTTTTTTTATAAAACTATTCTTACAGCCATTTTAACTATAGTAACACTACTGTCATTACATGGGTAGCAAGATCTTATTTCACAGGCCCCCCGTTATTTAGAACAATACAATATAAACATACGCAAAAATTATTGGTATTTTTCAATGTGCAATATTTTTACACTTATGAATTTCTGTACAATGTCTTAAAATCTAGAATATAAATGTTGCTGGTCCTGATTCCTTGCGAAATTAGTGCAGCAGTGACTGGCTTCAACAGGGTCTAGATGAAATCCTCAAGAAATACTTAAACACCTGGACATCAGTTCTTCCTCTTCAGCCAAGGTAGCAGACATCACATATCATACAGGGCCATTAACGGATGCCTCTCCTAAATGGGTGTGTTGATCAGTCCTAAGAGGCCAAAAAATGATGTAAGTATACAAGACAGGTTCAAAACAAATTCAGGTAGATACAATAAAAACGAAACTAAAAAGCAATCCCAGATCATGTGTAGCATAACCCACGAACTGTAGAGAGGAAACATGTGCTAATAACATCCCAATCCCATTTATCTTCTGCAGTCCAGCATTTCTGGAGTCTTTATTGCCTAATTAAGCACAGCACTCAATTAACCGAGCACACCACTGAAGTGTTTGATCTTCATTAAGAGGGATACAAAGTAATCTCTAGAGAGGAGATATCTCCGAGAGAATCACTAATAAAAAGCACATTTCTGATACTTATCCAAATCTTATTCTGTAGGGCAAAATGTGATACCAAGAGTATTTAAGGTTGCACCGGAAAGTAAGCAGCTAAGACTAAAAACTGCTTTAGTTACTAATCTAAATCTACAAACATCCATTTTACAAACACTTTGAATGTCAGTCCATTAGGACAAAAAGTTCAGGAAGTATGAAGGAAAATAGGGAGTAAACCCACAAAAGTGAAAACAGTAACAGTATATACATTTCTAGATAAAGAAGTTTATTAGTGTAAACATGGGCTCAATTGCTCTGGACTAGCACAAAGATCAAATCAGTGTATGAGAACATTAAAAATATGCAAGCAACAAAGGCAAAAAATTTTAACTTTCATTCAATGCAAGTCTACGGAATACATTTGAAGATTCCCTAAAAGAATGCAAATAGTGCTTGAAACTACAGAGGAGAAAAGTTACCTGTAACTCCTGTTCTCTGATGGTGGACATCACAGAGAAGCCACTCTGGGGTCCGTGCTCTACATGCACGTGACCAGCAGGAGCCCCCTAGCTAAGTCTTTGGCTGCTAAGCTATAAAAACACTTTTTAAAAAACATATGTACACATTAGAGAAGAGACAGCACTAGACAAAATCAAACACTTTAGAGAAACCTGGAAGGTAAGAAACAAGTGCTGCACGGACAGGAAGTGTGACAGTCTGCCTGGCAGTCACTGGTCCATGACAGAATGGGGCTCCTAGCAGAGATTACTCTTGCCAGCCACCAGCCAGAGACCTAGCTAGGGGACGCCTTCCACTAGTCATACATACATGGAGCCCCAAAAGCACAACTGTGTTTGATATTTATACTGTGCTTATGAGGATCTACTGCGACAGCCACCTTTAGAGAAAGTACTGAGCTTTGCTGAAGCCAGCTGGATTTAATGAAAGGAGTTCCTTGAGACTTCCTGCAAGCCAAAAGCAATCCAACAAACTGCTAGCTCTGAGAGCCCTCTGTTGGTTTAGACAGGCATCTTTGCTCAAAAGGCAATCACCTAGTACCCAAAGACTTCTTCCCTATAATTTAATACTTATCAGCATTAAAAAATAGTCTTGATAAAGACAGTACCTCCAGAAGAGGCTGTGAAAGAATTTTCCGGTTTCCCACTTTAAGTATACAGGGTTGGTTTTTTTTCTGATTAGAATTCACTTCTTGATCAAGTTCAAGATTTATGCAGAGCAGAAAGTTACTAGAAAGGAGCTAGTTACATACTAGCTCATAAACAAGTCTATAAAAACAGAATCTAAATCTTTCAAACATGCTTACATCTTTTTTTAGTCTGCATACAGTATAATCAGAACATGTAGTAGAGTTCTGCATATCAATTCACTACTCTAACTTGATAACACTGTCACAAAACACAATGTGGATATTTACAACTCCTTGCAAGACAAATACATTTTGATGACTCAAGAGTCTTAGAATCAACAGAAAATATAACTTGCGAGAATTTAATAAAATAGATGCAAGCACACATTTAGACTGAGCTAAACTCAATCTCTTCAGACCAATCCTATTAGCAAAAACAAACAAACTGCTATTTAGAGGATTGAAAGCATCCTTGAATGCAGTTACCTCTGTTCCGGACTGCTGTTAGTAGGCTGAAGAGCTGAAGGGACCTCTTCTGCAACCTCTGTATTCTCTTCTACTACATATTTACAAGAAGGATCCTGGGAGGTAGACAATTTTCCTTCCTCACTTAAAAAAAAAAAAAAAAAAGAAAATAAAGTTATTTAATTTGTTTACTTTTTAAGTTTACTTATAGGGAATTTCAGGCAACAGGAGAAAACAGAGACGGGTCTTTATTTCACATGCAAATGGATTTTAAGTTATGATTGCAACATGAAGGTCAAGCACATGGCTCTAGACTTTACAAACACCTAATGATGCACTGGTGTTTACATCCATTAAAATTTGACTGGATAAAAGGGCAGGAAATACAGTGATTGCAAATAAGATCAGAAAGGAAATAAGGAATGTGTGTGATGCCTGAAGTGATAACAAATCACAGTCACGATCCTTTACTATACATACCGATAGGATTTCAACACTCTGAAGCCAGAAGTATGCAAAAATGGAAGAAAGTATAAAAGAAATTCAAGATTCCCTCAGAAACTGGCATTAATAAAATCTGTCCATGAAACACATCAGCAGAATTATTACCATCTTACATCTTAAACTCCCTAGTAACTCCACAGTGAATACGATATATGGGTTACGTGGTACTAAGACTGCAGCCCAATCTATTTCACAAATTTCCTCTTGGAGACAAAAAATCAAAGTTTGGTGAAAAAGCAGTACACTCACACTATATAAGACATTACCATGTAACCAGGTAGCCTCAAAAGTCATTAGCAAACAAATCTTCTGTTTTGCCTCAAAACCAAAGCTTTCCTGCCTCTCTATTCCCCCTCTTCCACCGCAGTCACACCATTATGAGTGCACTAAAATAGAAATTTGACCATATATACCTGCAGGAGATAGTTATAAGGTAGCTCTGAAGTAGACACAAACATCAGTCTTATACCTCTGTGACAACAAATCTATTTATGCAAGAAGTGCCAATCTCCTCTGCTGGTTTTCCTCCTATTCTCACAGTTTTCCATGGATCCTTTAAATTTCAATGAATCCTTCCCTTTCCTCCTTCTACCCGCAGAGCCTGCAAAAATACTGTCTTTTGTATTGCAATCTCTCATCAAATTTCCCCATCTACTCTTCCCATCTCATTTGCCTTGATACTCTTTGTATTAATTCCAAACAAAATACTTGTCACCATCACAAGGGGAGTCCTAATTTTTTTATTTTCTAAAGAGGTAGTCTCTTCTAGCATTCTTCCCTCTCATTCTCTATTCTGAACTAAGTTCACAAATCACATTTTTGTCCTTTGCAGCTTTCCACAAATTAACTACTGTGCTTATAATGCTCCTCTCCCCTCAGCATTGACTTCAACATCATAAATTTTCTACTGACAGAAATCTAGATGAAGCAGAAGTCTGGAAGCATCCACTTTGCAAGGTAAACAGGCCAGAATAGGACCTCCTCTCGCTACTCTAATTGTCCCTTAATCTAGACTTTTTCCCAGCAAGTTGATTTAAAAAAGAGCCACTTGAGCACTGACTCAGTATGAGGCCACACTTCTCCATCAGAGTAGAACAGTCTCTATACTTTAGACCTCATCTTTGAGCCTCCTTCTATGTTTCTTTAACATTTCCTTTCCAAATCAAGATCCCAGAGTCCCCATTGCTAGAAGTTTTCAAGATGCAATTGGACAGAGTGCCAGATAATATTATCTGGGCTCCCTTTCCCACCCAGATAATCTTTCAAGGTCCCTTCTGACCTGGGCAATTTTATAATATCACCTCCCTTTGCACCTTTATGTCCTTTTAACTATGGTTCAAGTAGATAATTCCATGAAGGTAGGCAGGAACTGCCACCACATACTGCCTCCTTATGTTACTTTTTGCATCAGTATAAGAAGTCACAGAACTTCAAAGTGCACATGAGCTAGAGCAGTTTAAGGAGAAGTTTAAAGACACCATGGATAACTAAATCAAATTGAAAACATCTAAGAGTGAAGACCATATAAAAATACTCTCCAAAAGACAGAATAAACTGGAGAGCAGATGTATAATTTACTAAATCAGCAAGGCATGTCACATCAGTCTGCACACTGTCCCAATACTTCTCTAAACTGTTTTGGTTCAATTCCTCTATCAATGCCATTTGATTTATAAGGACTGTGCAGTAAAAAATGCTCCCTCCTCTATACTGAAAAACATCAGAATTTAAGTCAATCAGACAATCAAAGGGATGGAAGCAAGAGTGATTGAAAGCTGCTATGTTTCAAGTTCTATTCATTTTGGATGGTTCAGGAATTACCTACTATCACTAGCAGGACAAAGTAAAATTAATTTAAATGACAGGCAGTGCTAAGGACTAACACTGGAAAAGCTTTTTCTACTGAAATCAACTGAGTTTGGTGGTTTTTTTAAGCAACTTCCAAGACATACAGACAATTTCTTTTCAATATTTAAAGCTAGAATAGGGACAGATACTGGGAAGTGATTCTAACAGAATGAGAAGAGGGTTGCAGGCCAAAATGCTAGTAGTATGTTCCAATTTGTTAAGATCAGGGTGGAGGCAGGACATACCAGCTTCAATTAATGAAGGTAAAATTTTTGCAGGTCAGACTGTTTGTAGTCTGTTTCTCTACATAAATATTTGCTACTAAATAAAAAACATTTGATCACTAAATCTAAGATCACAAGATCTTAGTAGATGGGATTAAGTAGACAAAACTGAAATGTGTTTTATTCTCGTAAAAGGATCAAAATGTTGATATATATAATATAGAATTTAACCATATTGTAAGACAGTTATTCTTAAATCATGCACTTGCTATCAGAAGATATTAAAATTAAGGAGTTGCTCTTCTGGTTATTCTAGAATTCCATGTGTCATTGTAGCCCAGAACAGATTTAACACCTCGTGCATACCACCAACAGTGATCACCCTAAGTGTCAAGCTGCTCTCAAGAGCAGTGCCTGGCTGGCCTTCCACTACTGTCCTCCACCCTTCTGGATGAGAAGAATGAAATTCCAATCCAAATCTAAGAATTCTGTGCAAAATTTAAAAAGCTTCATTTTGATGTGCAATTAACTGTATGTTAAAAGAACTGTATAGGAAAATTGCACAATAATGTGCACCAGGGTCAAAAGTTGATTCAGTCTTCCAGTAATAACCTGCCACTGAAACTAAGGCTTGATAAGTGAAGTCGTATGTTACAGTAACTAAGTAGAAGTAAAATTTCAAAACAATTATATTGAATAGTTTCTAGTTAAAGCCTCAGGAATTATCACTTAAAAGAACTCTTTTTAATGACAGTGTTCCATCAACAGTGTCTACTTTACAAGGTGAGAAGACAATAAATAGGTATTGTTACCTTTTGAAAACAGCCGTCTCAGTTTTAGCATCTACAGTTAGGCTCAGTGTCTCCTTCATGCTGCCATTCATGACTGTCTCAGTTACCTTATCTGCATTTTCTACATCATCCTCTCCATCTGAGCTGGCCTCCATAGCAACACTTCCTGGGGCTAGAAGTAAAAATAGAAGTAATTTAGTACATGGCTGGTTATGTTTCTATTTCATGAGCAAGCACATAAGCCAATATAACCAGACCAATATTTTTGCAGTTTTGTACACTTCTTGAATTCTTCCTTACAGAGAGAGTCACCTTTTTTTGCAAGTGTCACATAGATATAGATACAGAGAGCACATAAGTACTACTTACAGATGGCTTAAGAAAAAGCCACAGTCCGTTACTTCATTTTTCATTTTACAGGCCACTTAGTGATTTAGACTGACAATTACTACAACAAGTTTGCCTAAACAAGACTTAAATAGGATTACAGTGAAGAATTATGTTTCTGTACAGCCAAATTCACAACTCAAGTCCACACAGTTTAAATTTGACACTAAGTTTCTGAGTACAGACAAGCCTTTGGGAAGTCCAGTCTCCGTGAACTTATCTGCACTTCTTGCTCTGTCTGTTAGTGATATACATAAAAAAAGTTCATTAAAATATTTTTGTCCTTTAACCAGTTCATACATGTAGAATAAAAAATTAGTGTGTGCATAATGAATGTGGCTTGGAAAAGAATGAGTAGGAAGGAGAAATCTGAACACATTGAGGCTACTGGCCTGTTGCAACACTGGACAAGACTGGAAGCTACCACTCTTCTTGGGCATCAGCTCAGCTAAGCACTGACACAGATGAGAGGACTCTCTAACAGGACACACTTGGTTTCTGCAAGGCTTTTCTGTTCATGATGTGCAGGCTTTTCAGAGGTAACAGTAACACTGGCTCACATTTTGAATTGGAAACTATTGTAAATAGTTCAGAAATTCTTTGAAAAGTCATTTTCATTACCTGGCAGAACAGCAGCAGAACCAAAAAAGAGGTCTCTGGAAATCTAAAATTTTAAAGTTCAGGAAGATCTTTCTCAGGTACAACTCCTACAATCAAGCATTTGTGAATGCAGTATACTTACTCTCTAGCTGTGTTGCAAGAGCAGTTACATTTGCACTCAAGGGATCACCTGGATCTGCGTTTGTTTCCATTTCCACAGGAGAATTACTTCTTAAGGAATCTTTTGAGCTTCAAATACAGTAAAAAAGCTTTAGAAACATTTCTGAACAGCAGAACGAAGTGTTCTTAAAACAGTATTAGTTCTCTATCAAAGTTCACTATAAAGTTCACTAGACCCCTAGCAAAAACCTAAAGACAGCAAGTTCGTAGGAGTCTTGGAAAGACATGCTAAACAGGAGTTCAGTATTGCAAAATCCACCAGGATTGAGCTGAGGATGTTTGATGGTCATTTTATTCCGACTTGTTTGATTTGGTTAGTTTTCTAAATGCACTCTTAGCAACTTGGAAGATGGTTCTCTGAGACTGCCAATGTAGTCATCATCCACTGCAAAAGTGATTTCACCACTTAATCATACATGCAGTATAGCTACAAGTTTTTCATTCTGAAGAAACTCAAAAGACAAGATTTGGCCACTTGAAAAACTTCTCACCATTTACAGAATAATGGCTTTTCTATCCAGTACTGTGGCAACACCAAGTCTTCATTTTCTAAACCCTTAATTTGGTTATCAATTTACCCGCCTCAAGCATGAAACAATGCACTGTTTCACACTGAAAAAGTCAAACTTTTGTATCTGAGTTGTTTTAATGCCCAGAGAGAAAAATCAAAAGTCAGATGTATAAAAGTAAAGTCTTTTGATTCGAGAAGGAATCAGTTCTTGATTGCTAATATTTGGCAACTCAAGATTTACATCTATGTGATTAGGTACATACACAAGACTTGTTACTTTCTGTGTAGAGTTCCATCAAAGACAGAACAGCATTATCTCAAGTGCTCTCAAAATAGTGCAAAACTGCCTAACCTAGTTATTAGAGTTGCACAACTACATGAGTTGCCAAAACAAACAAAAAAACCCAACAGAAAACCCCTAACAAACCAAACAAAAACCCCAACCTATTTGTTTTATAACATCCATAGAACGGAATCATCATAGACATTTTGTGACCTTTACATTCAACAGTTCACGTTCAACCCTTCACTGAGTTCAGTAAAAAATAAGCAATAAAAAAAATTACAGTCCAAATTTTGGTCAGAAACCAATATTAAAGGACACGAATGTTCATAAAACCCCTTTAAAACAATGACATTAGTATCCACTCATCCTAGAAAAGCCTGCTATGAAGTAGATCATACAAAGATACGCTGTTAGAACACACGGGACCGTTTGGACACTTTCCATACACTTCGTATTCCACCAGAACGTCACCAACACAGGCTTGTGTAGAGATGGACACCCCAAGGAAACCAAACTTACTCTGAATAACTAACTTTCTTACCTCAAAGAGGATGGGAAGTCAGAAAATGAAGCCCAGCCAGTTTCTTTTGCTGGCATAGGTGCTTCAGTACTCCACACACCAGACCCAACAGAATCCAGACTGGCACCATGTGCAGTCTCCATGGGTACATCAAAGTTCGCTGACCAGTTAGGTGCTGAAAAACCACCAAGAAGTTCATTAGGAAAAATATTTAAATAAAGAACATGAATGCACATATGCCTAACACACTGATTCTCTCTATGCACATTCAAAAAAGAGAAAGCAAAATTCCTAACGAGACTTCAAAGCACATGCAGAAAAATCCTCTATATCCTGTTAAAAAATGGATGTATTACCTAAAAGGAAAATTCTGCTAGTAAGGCAGAATTTTAAAGATCAGTAACTCAGAGTACTCTGCCAAAAAAAGGCTATGTTTATCTGAAGAACAAAACTAATAAATCATACTAGATCACAAGTATAATTCCACTTTATTCTTTAAATTAGCATCAACATTTGTTAACAGTTTTCAGAACTTATTTCTATAATAATGAAAATCTTAAGAGTTTTCATCCCTTTTTCAATTTCTTTAAATTCTCATGCACTAACACCACTGCTAAGTTTCAGAAAAGTTTAAGGCTTTTTACAACTTAAAATATTTATTGGTATTCTAAATTTTGGAGTAACTGACTTAATAGCATCTAATTTAGGATAGGTCAATTCAAAATACTTCACCTACCCAAGGGAAACATGTTTTTCATTAACACTTACATACAAAAAAACAGGCTGAAAAGGAAGCTCTGACTAGCAATTAGAAATTCCAACCCAGGCAGATATGGGAGGAGACCCACATGGATCAAAACTTGTTTGACACACAGATGCCAACGACACCAATCTGACAAAAGAAAAGAAAACCCTTAACTTTTCCTTCTATTTTAATTTAATTCCTTACAGTCTAGATAAACACAGGGCTTTTACCTATAGACATTGCCAATTTAACTAAAGCCAGTTTAATCTTGACTTGAATGTGAAAACTTTTCAACCAATTACATCATTAAAGATTTCACATTATAGTCTCCTGATGTGCACCGTTTGTTCGCACATGAAAACAGAACAATGCAAATTCACTTAGCTTCTGTAGGAAGTCTTTTAAAAGAGCATTGTTAGATGAAAAGTTGGTCTGAAAGGCTTCCAGTAAAAATACCATCTTTCAGGTTTGGAGATTAACAACCTATTAGTTTTGCAGGCATTCAACATTTATAAATGAGTACAGTTAGTCCTTCCCTTTCTGATACTCCTCCTTTTTTTCCCCTCTTGAAGAGTGATAACGTGAATTTTAGAAACAAAAAGTAATTCAAGACGTGTAAGGAATTTGAACTTCCCAACATTTGCATGCTCTGTTGTGAGTGGGAAAGACTACTTTAAGACAGTTGGAATAAAAACAGTAAACGAGGAAAATCCTACAAAATCAGTCAGCTAGATCTAACAATTTCCTATAACTAAAGCAGTAGGGAAAAAAGTTACGTACGTTCACTTAAGTCTACTTCCATTTTGTCTTCTGTATTGGTGTGCGACTCAAACAAGTCTTGTTTCGTTCCATCCTCTTCTTCAGAATCTGTACTTTCTTCACTGTCCGTACTGCCCGAACTTCAAAGACAAAGAGATAGTTTAAATTTTGCTTTTAGTGTCAGAGCCTGGGCACTAAGAAATACTGGAGAATTTGAGGCTAAAAAGAATTACAACAACCATTATTTCTGATAGATAACTGAGATATAATTTTTACATATTAGTACTCCTCTCATTTTTCTCTCAAAAAACCAAGGTTTAAGGTTTTTCACTTGATCAGGTGAAGAGGTTTTCAGCAGATACTGAGGGAGGCTGCAAAGCCCTGAGCTTTGGGGACTAGATGCTCCTTCCCCTCAGTGCATCTTCCTATTCCACAACCACACTGGTACTGTAGATAAGACAGCGAGGTGTACAAAGGCAGCTGGGCTGCCTTGTCCAAGGCAAGAATGGCTGAGCAGGTTTAAAAGCAGAGGGAAAGAATAAGCAGTAGGAAAAAAAAAACCAAAAAACCCAAAACAACAAACCACAAAAGTTAAAGTGCATCTTCTGCAAATTATGGCTGGAAAATAAAACACTAGAACCATTACCCCATAAAATGGAAACGCTGGACAATCTGTACTAACAGTCAGTCTGAACCAGAGGACAGGTACATTATTACAGGCTCACTATACTGCTACTTGGATGAAAAACACATTTCTCACCTGGAACGCCTCTGGGACTCTGGTGTAAAGGCAATATGTTTTTCTTCCCAAATGTCTTCTTCATCAGAGCCACCATCATCAAACTGCTGTATCCGTTCCTTACAGCATGCCTCAAACAAGGCTATATTGCCCTAAATATAGCAAGAGTATAAAATACATATTTATGATTGATCATTTTACTTACATTAGTAAACATCTTGAAAATATATGACTATTCCGAAGACAATCTTAAACATTTCCCTAAAAGCAGCAGAAAACCAGAATGTCTTAATAATTTAAAGCTTCTCAAAAAAATATTCAGTGCTGCTTGTTTTACTCGGCTACTAACAAGCTGAGTGAACCAAAGAACAGCTAGGAGTTTCCATCATGTTTAAGAACAGGATAGATCAATGACACCAAAGACCTTTCCAGATAACCTGACCACCAAGTATTCCAGCTTTATTTTCTGTAGGTGATGTCATTTCAGCTCAACCAACAAATAATATCTAGGTTTAGAGTCTCTATTCTTACTTTCCTGTCATTACAATCTCACTGGAAGATTGAAATAGCTTCTAGTCATAAAACACAAGTGTGCAATATGCACAAATTAGATCAAAGCCTGGTCTCAAACTCAGTCATACAAATTAGAAGCAATTCTGCTTAATACTGATCCCAAAGAACAATAACAGTGCCTTCCAATTAGAAAATCTCATGATACAGGAATAAGGTAGGGTAATTATTTTCCAACAATTACACATAAAAGGAGTAAATATAACCACCACCAAAACTTTGAGGTCCCACATAAGTTTAAGCCAGTAATTTTTCTGACAGTACTGGAAACACATACTTACACTTTCATTTGTATTGAGGGTAAAGTTGATGTCTGAGACCCGATCAAAAGAAACACTACAAGAAAAAAGCAGATGTATTCAATAAAACAAGATTTTCTATTATGACATGAAAACATTTCTCTTTGGTTTCTTATTTTCCAATAATCTGAAGACCAAAGACAGTAGTTTCCAACACAAAACAGTCAAATTTCACATGAAGGAGGCCTTGCATTCATGAGATTTTCCTGACTGTAAAATATTTTAAACAAAAGCACAAAACAATGCTACCTCTACGCTACAGTTAACCATAGAGATGCAACAAGTCTAAACAAGCATAACTGAAATTACATACACAAATCTCAAATACAGTACTGTTATGCACTGGGAAAAGCCTAGACCTAAAAAATGCCTAACCTGACTATGGTCTACCATGATACAGCTCAAAGTCCGGCAAATATCTGCATTAGCAGCTCTTACATATTCTAACTGATTTCACCGCTCTATCTAAGGACCTTCTCAATTGGAAGGGACAGAATAAAAAATGTAATACCAAGTTCTGTTTCCTAACAAAAAGGTATTTTTCAACCAATCACTGAAATATTTTTCCAAACATAAGACTACATCTTCACTTATTAAGCTATCAATCACTTTCACTAAAGTAATTAAAAAAATGTCTGACTAAAAATTATGTTAGGCAACCTAAATCTCTAAGGGACGCAAAAAGAAATAGAGGAGGAAAAGATACAAAACATCACCAGACTTGCAGAAGAGCCAATACATTCTTTGCCTAGCCACATACAGCAGTGCATTCAGCAGAGCATGTTACTACTCTTCCTCTAATCTTCAATGCATTACATAGTAAGGAGAAAAGTAAGTGGTCTAAAGGAACCTAAATTTCAAGTGTGATTGAATTACTATGCAAGCTGCCATCAGAATTATTGTGCAACAGTATGCAGGTAACTTAAAGTGTAATTGATTCTTGCACAAAAGGCATAACTTTAAAATAACTTTGTCTACAGCCTAATTCAAGTCATGAGTATATAACAGTGTATCTATCACAAATCTCAAGAGACCTCCTTACACAAGCGGTCATCTTTCTACCAACACAAGAGACTTCCAAGGGTATGAACTGAAAGGAATTCCAACTCCTATCCTTGCCAAAAATCCACTTGCTTCTAAAAAAGTTAAGGAGTACCCTGAGTTACTTCCTCTACCATTGTATCTTAATCTATAATCTCAGCATATTATGTGGTGTAAAAAAGCAGCAATGCTTCTTAGATGGCACATATAACCTTTAGTTAGCCACCACTTACTCAACATGTCTTACAGAAGAGCATTATTATAAAAATACCCTTCTAAAAACCATCTTGAAGTAATGCTTTTTACTCCTATCTGTATGTTCTTGCATCCCAAGCCATGAGGTATTACAACAACCACAACTGACTCTACTATCAGCAACAACGTCCATTGTTCACTTTTCCCTTTCTGGTATCAGTTTGCTTAGAACTGAAGAAAGATACCAGTTTTTTGGGGGGGTGCTTTTTGTTGTGTGCTGGCTTTTGCTTCGCTTGTTTGGGGTTTTTTTAACCTAAGACTGTTCTCACTTCCTCATCTTTTACCATATTTGTAGAAATAAGTCTTAACTGCCTTGACCTTATAAACAAAGGTAGATTTACAATGTCCTTCCTTACTGTCCCCTAAAGTATTCAGAGACTTGTTGTTCCTGTATTTTTTTCCAGGAAAACTTAAAAGTAGAGATATTCATCTGGTCCAGTACATAGATTCAGCAAGGGAAAAAAAAACCACTTTGTGACACAGAGAAAGTGAAAATGCCCCAAAGCAATGCCAGGTCAATGCAGAGCCACAGCTTTCAAAAGCAGAGTTATAATTTAGTTTTTTATTCCCAAGCACTGTGTTCTCAATGTTGACACAACTAGGACATCAAAAAGGAAGATAAGTTGTTACTTTCCTCTGTAAACTGTTCAGAGATGCTTCCATCAATGCACACGGATGGTACAAAAGACAGGACTGACTGGTAACTGCCTCACATCAGTAAATGCTTCTGTTTACCATCAGCAAAACCACAGCCAAAAACACAGTAAGAAAGAAAATTCACAAGACTATAGCCAAAGCCAGTATAATGTTATACTCACTTGCCGATGTCATCTTGATCAGCAAACTTCTCATCGTTGAAGCCAAACTGGTCAATAAAATTGGACGTCATTTGTTGCATCTGATAATCAGAAAAGGCCTGGCAACCCCAGGACCAACGACAGTGATATAATGATTCTAATAATATTCTAAAATCTATTTGCCCATTTTGCTCCAAAGAAATAAAAGTCTATCTAAACTAAACATAAAAGGACAGGAGAAGGACTTGTCTTAACCTTTAAATTTTGAATGGCAACATCAACTACAACTCTTATTACATTTACTGACTTGAAAGCCAGTCTGATAGCAGCTTTCAATAAAAAAGTTAAATCTGTAGTTTAATCATATTAATCAGCACCTTTCCAAATGCACCCCGAAGAAACAGTGAAACAACACAGCATACTCTATAAAAGAAAAAGCTGTCTTTGTTCAAAATAACATGAAGTTATAAGTAGCAAGAACCCAAAAAGTAGATCATATATAGATACTAAAGCACAGTTCCTTATTTATCATGTAGTTCACTAGCAGTATTAGTCTCAGGCACACATACCAGCAGCACCTATTAAATATCTAGAAGATCTAAACCACTGAATATTTTCCATCTCAATGCAGCGGCACTGACACAACTGTACACTTTTTTTTTTAAATAAAGATGCCAGTGTCAACTGCCAAGAGATGGAAATATACACATTAAGGTACATGAGGCCATCTTCTCCTATCCATAACAACAGTTTTTGTCTCTTATTTCCCAGGACTATAAATTACAAATTATCACACATTCTCTAGGACTTTTCATAATGTTATTTCCATGTGTAAAGTCAGTCAATGCTAAGATATTCTAGGGAATAAAGCTGTCATGTCATCGCTCTTGGTTTTTTGCCCCAGTAGCTGAAGGGACACAGTATGGTGGCAAAGTTGAATACAGTGAATATAAAAATAAAACAAAAGAACAGTCAAAAACCCCCAAGTTTAGATAAAGGCATTATGAAAACTGAAGGAAAAAGAAAATATATATAAAAGGAGGAGGTATACAGCAAGACAAACTTGAAAGAAGCAGCACTGGACCATCTGCATTTCTCCAGTTTAACTACCTGGAACTGCTGGGATTGCCTAGGCACAGCAGGTCACTAAGGGGATGCATGAAAAGCACAGAGATATTAGAAGATCTTACTTTCTCACTAAAGCTGCTACAGATAGCACCCAACTTATCAAGTTTTTATTCAGGTGCACCTTACATGTACAAAAGCACTTAATTAGATAAAAATGCATCAGATTTTAAAGCTTGAGCCACCACCCACAATTCAAACTTAGACAAGCAATTACTTATTATAAAAACTATAGAAGATGCATACAGTACTAAAGCCAGTCCTAGACTAGGTAGTTACTACACAGCTGTCAGTGTGAGCTGAAAGATTTATTAGTAACCCAGCCAAGGAACGCGTTCCACCTAAGGGATCTATTGGCAATCTTGTGCCACATGGCTCCCACTCTTTCACCATCAGTGAAAGAATTCAAAGAGATGCATATTATGTGTTCGATAAGACACAGTTGTGTGCACGCACACGTCATTTATCTTAAACTTTCTAGATTTATATTTGCTGGCAAGATAAATACAAGTTCCTTTGCTTTTTTAAAAACATCTTAATTTACTTGTACAGAAAGAGCAACTTAAACTGTTAAAAGAATTCAACTCACCTGCTGCAAGGAAGAATCCTGTGAGAAGCCAGTTTCTTTAAAGTCGATTTCATCATCGCTGGAGGAGTGGATGTGGCAGGTAGTGACCTACACAAAGAAAGGGGGTCACTTGGACAGCATATGACAGACACTCAGCTACACTCACACCATCTGGCTGAATCTTCAGTTTCGTATCAAAACAAGAAACTGAACTATTGATTTTTACCAACTGTAATACCACATAAAACAGACCCTGAAATATCTCCATGGCATTATCGCATACATGAAGCCAAAGATTCTGACTACTTCAAAATGATTATTTAACATAAAAAAGCCAGTCTTACAGCTGACAGTTATCTAAAACTAAATGAGACAAAGCCTGAACCTTGTCTTCGGAGTTGATGCCACAGTAGCCACTGTTTTAAACAACAGTAATGAAAGAAAATATGTCATATCATCAAAAAAAAATATAACTAGTGGGAATAGTTTGTTCGGTGACACTGCTAGGTAAGCAACATGTTCTTAGAAGTACTCATTTTCAATCAGAACAGCACTCCAAAAGTAGTTTTAGGCTGGGACAGCAATTAACTGAAGTAACAGTGGCAGCAGCTGACCTTTAAGACACACTCTATGAGGGATAACTAGTAAAAAGCAAATCTACAGAAGACAAAGTTTATACTGCACTATAATAAACTGCATTATTTTTCACACTCCTAGAATTTCATGCTACAGATTCTCAAGTGATGTCAGGTGGCTCACGGATTCTTCTTATTTTTTTTAAATACAAGTCTATTCCAAAAAGATAATACAAGTCTATTCAAAGGGAGTACTGAAACACATATAAAGCTTCATACGAAACAAGTCTGTATACTTCAAGGCACTTATATGGCATTCCATACCACGACATGAGCTGCCCTAGATACTGCCACCCTCATGTGGAACATTTTGAGAGGACAAAAGTTAATACACCTATCCCTTCTACAATCGCAACTTGTTGTGGAAAAAAGACACTCAAATCCAAGTAAGAAGCTGTTTATTTAGTATTAGTTACCACTAATGAACATTTTCATCTCCAGTAAAAATCTTGCCCTTACTGCTGTAAAAGAAACAAGCTCAGGACTCTTGGCTAGACAGTACTTTCTCCTCAAAAATCTCCCTTTGGCAATCAAGGGGACATAAGAGCTTAGATCATAGAATCATAGAATGCTAAGGGTTGGAATGGACCTTAAAGATCATTTGGTCCCAACTCCCCTGACAGGTTATTTATTGAAGAATAAATATGAAAAGAAACTAACATTACTCCACTCTAATAACTAAATGGTAGAATGATGCCAGGGAAAGGAGTGGGAATGTTCACTTGCAAAGTGCAGCACGTAACTCTTACAGCTCCTCACTGTTCAGCCCAGTCACTCTGTAACACTAACACAGCACCAGTACTTCCCACAAATAATTCATTCTTATGCGTGACTTTTTTTGCTTCGTTTCCTGGTAACACTGAGAAGGATTTCCTTAAGTGAAAGGAACTACGTGGCAATTCTTAAGGCAAACATGAACAGTTTGTCCTGGAGACTGTTACTTTTAGGCTTGGGTAGGTATATTTTCCTCACCTAGTCTTTAGGTATACCTCAGAAACTTTCAGTACCATGAGTAATACTGGAAGGATGCCACAGAGACACATGAAAAGTTACACAAAGTCTCTAGTACAAACCTAGCATTACAAGCTGTATATCATTCCTTACTGTACCAGCATCATTAATGCACCTTGTCTAAATTGAAAATCAACATTTACTCTATATTTGTTTAATCTTCAGCTAGGTAAGTGTAAGTAGGAAAGCCCAGGGAAATACTGCTACCTTCTATCAGAAGGACAACTAGCACTGAAAAAACAAAAGTAAACTTCCTGTAAATTCTGCAAAGTGTTTTGGAGAAACTCTGAGACAGTTCTGCACACTCACTTCTAAGTCTGCAATTACTGTTGTTACAGAAAATGTAACAAGAACTTGTCTGAAAGACAGTAAAACCTAAAGAGGGAGAAAGGGAGTAAAACTGATAAAGTGTTGATAGATTTACAATATAACAACTGAAAAAGAATAGTTTCATGACTGCAGAAGCAGTTCATTATACATGGAACCCCAGAAGACATCCCTTGTTCCATTATAGTAAAATAGCTCTTGCTAATCACCAAGTAACTGAAGCACTGAGTACTCACAAGATCAGTTATTTCCAGAGCATTCACACAGCCAACTCAGTGACATATTTTTTAGTTAACCTTACACTATAAGGGTATGTCAGAGCATTGTAAATTCAGTAAGTTGACTGAAGATCAAGTTTAACAGTAAATCAAAGTTCTATCATTCAGGTCAGGAATCAGTGTCTGATATATTTTGCTCAACGTCTTGCTTAGCACAGAAAAACTCCGAACCAAGTAAATAAGTCTACTCATCTACCCAACAATAAGTATAAGGCTAATTCATAGAAAATTAAGAAATGTGTGCTTAAGATCTTGCTCTGGGGACATTGAAAAATCTGCACTTTACATCAAGTGTATGATTTTTCAGGTATAAACATTAGTTCTGCTAAGTTGGTGTTTGAACCTGAAAAGGATATTTTCATCAACTTGCAGAAGAGTTTGAACACTCAGACATAACAAATTGTCCAGGTTTATTTCTCTGTGGACAAACCCATAGAGACCAAATCACAGATCGAAAGTATGGGGGACAGTAGGGAACAGTATGACTGGGAAGAAACACTGTGGAACTGTGCTTTCAGGATACACTAAAACAATAACCATACTTAAACTTCACTCGGTCAAACAATAACCTGAGTTTTATATGAGATGTGTCTTTTTATATCTCCTACACATTGTACTGTCCATTACTGATTATCTTTGAACTAAATGCTAATCCTATGTTCATGGGAGTCAATCACACAAGCAGAAACAAAGCCTGACTTCCAAGACCAAGTTTTCCAGATGGCATTTCAGACAAAAGAAATTGTTTTAATGCTTTGTATTTCTATTATACTGAAAATTGTGGAGTTTGGAGATAAGTTTTCAATTAAGTTTTACTGTTGTTACACCAAGTACATCTAAGCAAATGATTACATATCTAAAGAGCTCATTAGTGTTATTTATTGTAAGTCAGCCTAAAATTCTTCTTCTTCACATAATCCTTCTCTTGGTCTTGACCAAGTAGTTTCCAACCAGAGGAAAAATAACAATAATCTACAAGCACTGTGCACTTCTTCGCATTCACAGGATCAAGAAAAATTGCTTTATGTACATCATTTGGTCCTGTCCACAAGTGGCACAGTTTCAGATGAATTTTCTATTGTTTCTACTGAGACCTGTTAGCATTATGCTCCAGTTACTATATTGAAATAGCAAATATAACAAACTATTAGTTTTATAGCCCAATTAATTTAGGACCAGCACAAGTTAATTAATGAAGGCACATGGAATGCACTGCATTCCTGGAGAAGTCAGGTATATTAAAATTCAAGAATTGATCTGTTGACATTGGAAACAGCCTCTGCTTATTAAAGTCTCCAAGTGACTACTCTTAAACTGTATGTTTAACATGACTACACAAAACCTCTTCATACTTCTACTTAAGTTTAGCACTTTTCTAAAAGTGCAATCACTACAGCTGCATGCAGAAGGAACGTGGCAGGTGCACAGGAGTATGCAAAGCTATGTGACTTAAGCAAAGTCAGTAACACATGCAGTGGAACACAGGTAGTATTTTCCCATTAAACTTACATAAGGCCATTTACATCCTGTAGATAAAGCAATTAACACTAGCTCCTACACTTTTAGTTTGTATTCTTTAAGCAGACAGGAGTTTTCAAGGACACTAACTTGAAGCTGTAAAGAAGTCCTCATTCTTGGAGATTGTCAGGGATTAGCTATTACAAAGTAAACTTCTGCATTATTCCCATACAAAATATTAATGATATGGCTTAGTTGAAAAGTATACTAAAGAATTATCAGTTCCATAGCTCAGCAACTAGATAGATTTCTCATAAGTACATAGGATTTTGGAATACTGACCATGCTGTTGACAAAAAGAAACCGAAGCCCAAGTAAAAGTAGCAGCAATTTTCCTACTTTATCCATCACTACTTACCAGGTCCACTGTATTCCTCTTGTTAGTTTCTCCTAAAGAGTTTGTGCAGAATGTCTCCCATCGCTCTCTGACATCTTCTGGAAGCTCTAGCACAGGAAACAAAAAAACCCAAACCAATTTGATACTATCAACAATGAAGCAACACTTAATTTTCAAAAGTTTTCTTCCGCTCTACCGAAAATACTAGTAAGAACAGATACATCCTCCTAAATCCATAAAGATTACTCCACCTAGCAAACAACTCCAAATCAAGCAGGTCAGCATCTCTTTGCATCTATTTCAGGGAGCTTTGATACCATTTGAAAAAAAAGCAAACAAACTTAAGCATATGCTTCAGGACAGCTGGTTTTAAATTGAATGTTTCAGAAGTAATCAATCTTTTCTTATTTTATCCAATAGTTACCTTTTAATTTAAGTTTGATTAATTTCCTCAGCACTTGATAATGAAAGTTATGAAAATAAATGTAAGACCATTAATCAATACCTTTAATGAGCTGCTGGACTAGTGTACTGTTTGGCCCCTTATCTGTACTATGCACAATGCAGTTTGCTATCCTTGTCAGGTGACCCATGTAGCCATGCCGTCTTCCTCCTTCAGCCCTGCAAGAGACAAAAGGAATTCAACTGCCCACACTCAGAGCAACTGTGCTGCTATATTCTGTTATAAAACACTCTACCAGAGTCAAGATGCCACATATGACTAATAGCACAGGTTAAGCTAAAGAGTTGCATTTTAAAACCAAAGGTTCACAAAATACTCAAGAATTTAAGGTATCAACTGGTGTCACTACCCCGAGCCAGTTTAAGATACTTAACAAGCACGTAAAGTACCAAGAAGGAAATGCAAATACTTCAATATTTGTGTGTGCATGTAGAAAGAAAAATGTACAGCATTATCAAAATAATGACAAAATTAGCAACAGATCCACAGTTTTTAGGAAATTTCTGCTGCTGAGAGTATTTTGCAAAACCACAGTACACCAAACATTCCCTCAGAGCTTTGAGTCCATGATCAAAAAGGAAAAGAATTCTTATGTGTGCTTTAGTATTTCAGAGCTTCTTAACATTACATTGAGCATATCAATTTAAGTTAGGACCATTGCTATCCTGAAATTTAGGAACAACATTTACATGTTTACCAAAGATAAAATTACAAAGCTATTTGAATATTTATTTATGACAGAACTGCTTTGCAGAAACAGGAATTACCAGATGTTAGAACAGTGCTCTGAATACCTTTTATCAGTTGGAACCATTCTACATCTGACCAAATAGCGATAATGAGAGGTCCAACTTGAACTGATTTTCTAGCATTTAGCTGCAAGGCAACCAGACTTCTGCTGCATCAGTTTAAGGTTTTGTGTTTTACACAAAAACCAAGATAGACCCAACTCAACTGGTTAGACAAACCTCCCATGAACTTGACTGAAACCTTTATAAGGTGACGGTAGTTCAGGAGTAGCTTATGTTATGCAAACACAAATCACATGATTTGATTTCCCACCATCACCTAACACATGAGATAACTGAAACTATGTCAGTGCAAAATATCATGAATCAAACTATTACACTGTTTACAGGAACACCTTGAGAGAGATTCTTGTCTTTTTCCCTTGACTACTTGGGTAACAAATACATTCAAAACAAGCAGCACATGATGATGGCAAAGGTTATAATTTCTAATAAAGGATATGCCACAAAGACTGTTTGTATTTGACAAACTGGACTGATTTGTCATTGCCTAGCCAAAAAGTCTGGAATACAACTGTATCTTCTGTTACTACATGCTTACTTGTAGTAACAGAATCAAACAACTTTTTACTACATCAGATTTTTACCAGTAGAAAGAGTCTAATTGCTGATGAAGTTGGCAGTTCTCTATAACCTCAGGAGAATCGATATAACATAGAAGACATTAGGGAGAGCATGTCTCCTACAGTTACTTAAAGTCACATTGCTTTTTTTTCTACCCTCCTCTTCAGCATCCTTATTTCCAGGTCAGTTACATTAGCCATATATTTACTATCTGATTCATATAAGATAGGAACAGGAATGTTTTGGGAAGTGGAACTGTCCCAAATAACACACCAGTAAACCTGCAGCACTATCCTAGTTAGCTAATTCAGTATGTTCACAAGTCAGAACTAACATCTACTGTTCAGTATCTCCTGAGCCGAACTTATGAGCCTTCAGAGAACTGTTTTACCACCTCAGGTGATGACTTGAGATTTTTTCACCTGCTATAAAAAGTGTTTCAGACAACGTTAGCTACTTGAAACTTATATCCTTTTCAATGTATACTTTTAGAAGGTATTTCATTGTTGAGGACTTGGTTTTTACTGCTTAGGCATCTGAATGCTGCCCAGTATGTCATATCATAAATAATTCTCAATTGCTTACTTGGGAAAAGTATTTCCTGTCCTCTCAAAACTTAACAATATGTTTCTGCACTTGAACATGGGTAAACTTTAAAGATCATAGCAATACCTTATACATGACAAGAATGACAACTATTGCATTCTCAGATGGTCAGACAGAAAAGTATTAGAATGCTACAAAAAGTATGAGAGAAAGCTTTAATTCAAATACAAACATGTAAGTCATTTCAGAACTGGCCAGATCACTTCTGAATTGGTTATACCTTCATTTCACAATTCAAGTCTTATGTAGACAATTGCAGGGAATGAGAAAACTAATTACTCACTGTTTCTTCTCATTCATCTCCCACGCTTCAAGTATTCTTTCTATTAATTGGCACTTAAGGAAGAGCTGTCAAAAAAGCAAAATATGCTTAGTAGCAGTAAAATGGAACACTGTTATGCATTTATAGTTGATACTAAAGTCCAAAAGACAACTAAATTTATACTTCCATTAGAAGATTTAAAGTTCAGAAGCAACAGTCAGACCGCAGACAGAAACCTAAAAGCTAAACCCATAGTATTTCTACTCCTCTCTGTAAGTGCTGAGTTGTAGCAGCACAAAGCTATTGAAATAACTACTTTAATTCTTAAAAATAGGAGGAATTTCAAGGAAAATAAATAGTTGCAGCTCTGCACATGTGCTCACTTTGGGGCAGCAAAAAATCTACTCTATGGCAGTTTCAGGTTTGACACCCTGAACTGATATTTTAAGTAAAAACAGAAAGATATTCTTGTTTGCTCTATACATAAAATAAAACTGGGGTATATTTATGTAAAACTAGCTGCTACAATAGCCTGGAAACAGGAAAATTCAAGAGATTCACAAAAAACACAACTTACATGTTTCAGTAAGAGATTGTCCCCAGTGGAATCCTGATCTGTAATTGTGCCATTGTCCGTGCTTTCAAGAGGACTTGCAAGAATCAATGCAATACAGATTTCTACTTGAGTGTGCAGAAAGTTATTCCATGTATACTTAAAAAACATGTCCTGAAAAACAAATTCACCAAGGTTTATACAAATCAAGATCTTTTCATTAAACATAGCCGATTGTCTCACCCCACCAAATCATATGAAATAACTACACTGGAAAAAATTCTTTAAGTCCTACACTAAGTATTATTACACAAGAAAAAAATGTTACCTACAAAAATATTAATTCTTGTGCTTGCCATTATCTAAAACCAAGGGATACTATACCAGATCAGAACAAGAACTCAGCTGTAATGGGATTTATTGCAGGTGTCACCAGTAATGCACTTTCAGACTACAAAGACTGGGACAAATGATGCACCACACTTACACTGCTGCTGCTAGCTAGAGACCAAAAAATCCCAGAGTCAGAAGGGTTATTTATGACCTTAGGAGTCCTTGACAGATTTCTCTTTCTTGAGTTCACTTAACCTTCCTAGCACCTACAGTACCTTTTTATAAATGTGCTCCTCACTTGCATGAGATTCTTTACAAGATACTATCTACCTATTTTGAACCCATCACCTACTAATTTTATTCTTATATTACAGAAAGCTACCTCAGATAATCTAGATGCAGTTTAAGATCAACAAGGCACAAGACAAACACTGAGGTTGAGACACAATAAGCAGCGTTCATTTAGTCATGTTCCTGCTTCTCCCCATTTTTTCTTTTAAACATAGGAAAGATTTTTTCCAAGCTTTATGCTTAGTTATTTTAGACTACTTACTAAAAAACTCAAATGATTTCTGTCACTGGTAAAGGGAAGTGAGTTATGGAAATATGTGCAGTGATTGGAACAGCATTAAACAATTTTAGTCTCATTCAAAGTACAGCTAAAGGTCTTCAATCTTCCTTCAGTCCTTCTAAATTAATGACATCCATAACTTTTCCTAACAGGCAGGTCTGCCCAGTAAAACATGGGCTGTTTCAGCTAACAGCATGAAGCACCGAGGTTTATGCGGCTACAATTACTTTTCTCATTACGTAAAATCTGCAACAGAAAAGTGTGTTCGAACCTCACTGAATTCAGTTTACAAAATAATCTAATTATAAAGACATACAAGTATTCATAGCATGTATGTTCCCTTAGACAATGGATCCAGTAAAAACTTCGGCTACAATGAAATTAGCTATTTGTACGTAAGTTAGCACCTGCCTGCAAACCCAACTGTGACAAAAATCTGAGATGAAAACATTTCACTCAGACTGTATTAATCAGTGGCAGGAAAAAGGGATTTTGGACTAAAACGATTTGGGGTAGAGACAGTATTTACACCTTAAGTTTGCAACTGCCTACTTAAAGTTTACATGCTGTTCAGAAACTAGTTTAAGTTCTACATGATTTGCTAGTTATTTTTTAATCAATACAAACACTTGTACTTCTTGGGTGAACCTAAACACAAAGAATAGACCTGCTATACTGGAAGCATAGGTAGGAAGTACTCAAAGTACATCAGCAAAGAGCAGCGAGTTAACTGAGTTCATTGTGCTTTGAGGTTTGAAGGTGCACAAGCTTCCTTTATAGGACAGTGCTGAGATACCATTTGGTGGGCCATAAATTAAGTGAGGAAAAGGGGTTTAGAGGGAACAACTTAGGTAAAGAATGAAAACAGCAGTGAAGCCTTGAACGTGGCTGAAAACTTGAGAACATACAAGTGAAAATAAGCTTATGAAGAAAACCACTTCATGTACTTATAAAGGTGTAACAAACAAGAACCATTTAAGGGATCATAGAAAAACACTGACTTCAGACAGATTAATTTAACAGTAAAATCCAATCTTAAAAGTTCTTAAACCAAGCAATAGTAATCACAATACAAACGTGCTGAAAAGTTAGGTTGGAAGATTTTCTGCAGTGACAGAAAAGTCAGACAAGATCCTAATAGCAATCTATAAAAATAAAGAAGACAGCATTAAGTTCTTACCAGTATTACTCCTATGCTGTTAAGTTCTATAAGCTCCTGATTCACACTGGTTGTATTCGTCTGTAAAAGGCTAGATATTAATCTAATCACATTTAAACGCGTGTTTCCCACAGGTGGATCCAGTACACCCCAGGTTGTCTTCATGACACTTTTCTGGAAAAGAAACAAGGTACATACATAAAACCCATTAAAATATTTTAAAAAAATCAGCTCATCATTACTACAAACAACTGATGAAGTAGTGCTTAAAAATAAATAGAAGTAGTCCTTGAACAACTGTCTTACCTTCACACTGCAAAAAACTATTTTTAATTCCAAACACTATCGTTTATTTTAATTCCAAAGACAGGAAGCACTAAAACCAGCCACATGAAAACAATGACTTTGTAAAACTTATTGTTAACTACACACAGGATCTCAAAGGAGATGAAGTCTACTCAACCCCGAATTAGGAGCTGGTTCCTAAGAAATGATTCCCACTAGTTGATCCTGCTATAGTCTACATTGCTACAATATACACAAAACAGCTAGGTGGACAGTCTATAGATTTATCATAATGCCTCAGCAACCCTAACTTCATATACTTGAAAATAATTTTATTAAGTAACCAGCATCTCTGGTGTCTTACCCTAATTTTAGCTGGTTAACAAACCAGAAGTGTGGTCACAGTGCCAGCCAGTAAGAAGAATCAGTAGCAAATGTGAAATGAACAGGGGAATTCATAACGAAAATGTCTCCCTATCCTAAGACATAAACACATTTTGACAAGGATACCAGTACTGCCTACTGTAACCCTGGATGTCATATCGTTGCCTCACTAGCATCAGAAAATGCCACCCTTGCATCAGAAAATGATGACTGACATCCTCTTAGCTCATTTAGTCCATTTCTTAAACCAGGCAAATATCTAAGGATGCTCATTTAACTAGTGTTCAAAATGAGCAACTTCACCAGCTGACTTATTCAAATGCTAAGTCCAACAATCAGAAATTGTTCAAGTATCTTATGTGACCCTGCTTTTACATAATATAGACCCGTACGTTGCCATGTTGTTGCACTAAGTATGAGACAGTTTCTTCGCATTTTATTACCTCTTTTGCATCCATAAACTGTTTTCATCTTTAACACTACCTTGACTCCCTATCAGGTATTTTCATACACTTCTGGTCTTTATGTGCACTTCGGTCCACAGGTCCCTCTTTGTTAAAAACTGGGGCACCCAGTTCAGGGTGCCATGCTCCAGTTGAAATTCTGCCAGTGAAAATGTGAGTGAAAAATACCAATGGATCATAGGTATACCCCTATTTACACACTTTTTCTCTTTTTCAAGATCAAGACATAAATAAAGTTGCTTAAATCAGTTAAAAAGCCCAAGGAATTTAACATGCCTATAACGCACAGATGTGTCATGGAGCTGGTCTACTTGGGTCCTGGGAAAGACTAGAGAATTGTGCAGGCCTAATGTGGGCCACAGCAAAATTCTAAGCAACTGAAGCATCCATAGTCTGTGTTTCCTCTCGAGACAGGATTTCCAAACAGAAAACTGGACCCAACTTGAGAATATACATATATATATATATATATGTGTGTGTGTGTGTGTGTGTATAGTAAATCTCTTTTGATTGCTTTCAGAAAGAATTAATTCTTCAAGACTACTCTGCTAATTAAACAACGTTTATGCTGGAAAAGCAGATCAATTAGCATAATACATTACTGCTCATTATTCTTATTTGTCTGAGCCAAGGCTCACAATAGGCTAGGAAGTAGCCTGAGCACCTGCCTGAAAGCTGTCAGACTAAGCTTTGTTTTTTATTATAATCTGCCTAAAACACAAGCACATAGTGACAGTCTTGCTTTAATTAATTTGGTAACAAAGTTTCACTTACTTTTGGAGGCTCAAGTAGGAGCTCATGGAAGGATGAAAGTCGTGCTTTTATGGCTTCTAAAACACTTTTGTTGACAGAGTATGTGGAATTGCTCATGCCTGGAGGACAGATGTCTATATGGCCCTCAAACCTAAAACACACACAAGTAGGATCTGATAATTAATATCAAAACAAGTTGTAAAACATCTTTGAGGTATGCAAAAGTATGTAAGAGGATGTGAAAAGAATGAAGAGGTAAACAATGCCAAAACATAGGGTTACACATATAAATTAAGTGCGAGGTAATGGCTGAACAAGATTTTCCCAAACACTAGCTCTAGTATTTTTAAGTTTATTGGCTTGAAATCTCAAAAATAGTTTTGAGATTAAAAATTACAGTTCTATTTGCTCTTCTGAGGCAGATGAATAGCTTCATTTGTCTATCCCAAGCATAAGTTGCATGTACCAGAGAGATCTGTTCAGCAGTTTCTCCAAATGAAGTTGTAACAACATGACAAATAACTTTTTAAGAAGTCAATACTCACTCACTGCACTATACAGAATTACCCTATTCCTTGTATCCCAAAATAAACTGATGAAATGTAGTAAGTCTGATCTGTCAAGTGGCACTTAAATTAACTTTCAGAAAAAACTGCAGGAAGACTAGTCATTTAGTTAAAGCATTGCAAAGCCAACCACAATCACTTGGCTTGTGTTTTTACTCCTGCAGCTACAACAGACACAGAAATGGTTTGGTCACAAGTACATGGAAGACACTTGCTACTGCAGGCATAATTCAAGTGAAAAAGTAACACTTACGTCTGTCGTCTTGTCTCAAGTAAGGTCAATAGTATTTGGATTGCACTGACTATTGCAGATTCATTTTTTTCTTTATGAAAAATATTAGACAGGAGCTGCTCTATGATTTCTTGTCTGAAAAGAAAAGCATTGGCATCAGGTAACACTACTTTCAGGATACAGCTGTTAGCAGAAGTAGCTACCATTTGCCCACATAAAATTAATATGGGGATAATACCAAGAAAACCAGTAGCCATTTCAGGCTAGCAGGTACCACTAGGACAATCACTCCCATCCTCAGTGTCTCAATCATATTTTTCGATTCCTTCTACTGATCTAGCTTTTTGATCTAACCAAAAAAGAAAAGAAAAAAAAAAAGGGAATTTTTCAGTCAGATCAAAAACCTGGTTCAGCTTGCCATAACAGTCACATAAACCTAAACCTATAACAGCAAAAGGAAGAAGGGAGTACAGGAGAATCTTCTCTGGTAGAAACATACACTTAGATTAACTCGGCACAAGTAACAGAACAAAGTCAAAATCTTCCATGTTTAGTCTGCACAGTATCAAGCTGACCTCCACATGAGAGATCCCGATAAATTGCGCAGCACAGAAAATATTTTAATAAGACAACTCCTTCCCCACACCACCACAAGAAAGTATTCCAGGTGGGGCTCTGCTTCCTTGCCCAGTTATTTCAAATTACACAAATAGATGATGGGTAGACAAGAAAATTTACCTGAAAAGCAGCACTTGCCATTTCTGAAGGTTTTCAAGTTCAAAAGTTAAAAACTATTTTTTTTACAAAGTGAGAATAAAATCAGAAATTCAAACCAACTTACTTCTCTAAACTTGCCAGCAGTGGATCTGGTTCTGAGCTGTTCTGTACTTGTAACATCTGGTCTCTGCTTAGACGAATAATTTCACAGAGTGACTGTGATGCATTTGAATGCCTCTGAAACAGAAAAACATCACTTTTCACTAGAAGAGTAACAAGGTGCTGGACTGCAATTCTTCAATTAAAAAAGGTGAAAGTTTCAACATTGACAAGAGTCCCTCCTACCCAAAAAACATTCAAGCAGTAGCTTTATGCCATAACTAAACCTTAACAACACAAAAATAACCTTGAGACATGAGCCAAGAATCTACTTCCAGTATGAAGGTGGCAAAACATTAGAGCTGAATCTTCAAACACCAAGTATGCATAAGGCTTTGATACGGATCTCAAAAAGGGGGCAGGGAGGCAAATAAAACCACACACCCTCCCTCAAATGATGGCACAGATACTGAAACCAGCTTATTGAAAAAAGCAAGCAGAAAACAGTAAAACAAAAAGTTCTAACACTATGTTGTACAGCTGAACAGACAGACTCAGAGGAGTGTCAGACTAATACTTACATCTTCATCTTGAGATGGGTGTACAATTTCCACAAGCCGCTGGATAATTCTCTCCTCATTAAGCCACTGTAAAAGTGTTTGTGGATGTTAGAATTTTTTCCAAGTGAATGAATTTACAAAATTGAAAGTAGCCTTTTGACAGCTGCCCCATGTCATACTGTCAATACTTCTAAACACAGACTAACAATACTTCAGAAAAAAAGGGAAAAAGTAAAATTAGTGTTTCTGAGCCACAGTAAAAAAGAAAGCCTTAGGTATAATTTTAGAATAAACTTTGATGTAAAAAATGTGTTCAGTAAGGCCCAAAACAATCTTAAAATTGCATCTGTCGGTTGTTAAGTTAGATATTAAAGACTGAGGAAGAGACCAGACACTTGGGTTCTAAGTTGTCCACAGCAGCACAGGGGTTTCACTTTTCCACAGGGAAAAGTACTGTCAGCTCAAAGCACACAAAAAAACCCCACAACCAAACAAAACCCCACACATCTAATTTCAGCACATTTAAGAAATAAACTTAGAAACACCAGCAGAAGATAAGCCATTTTACAGTTCACAGGTCAGACAAAAATTCTGAGAATTTTACTTACATTTAGCACTTCTTGCCGGGGCTGTGGAGGTTCTATGCAAGTCAGTAGCCTGAGCAACAAATCCATGATAGCAGAGGTCCCTATGTGCTTAATAATGAGGTCTACAAAATCATGCTTCCTCTTTAAAAAATCCACAATCTGGAAATTAAAAAGTAAGCTTATATTTGCTTCTCTGTATTTTATATGATAAATTACACCAACCACTTTTAACTTCTCTCTCCTACCAAACAGGCAAAAAAGATGAGAACTTCTGCCACTTAAAGCTTGCAGTACAAGGCAAGATAAAATAAGACATGCGTAGAGAGTAGCAAAACTGGCACAGGGCAGGTCCATACTACATGTAGTATGTCCTGGGCCTCCTCTCAAGCCCAACTTGCTCATCACAACCTACTTATAATTCAATGCAGAGTCAGTTTTTCTTTTTGATATGAATTACTCTCATCCCAGCTTAGTGAGCAAAGCTCAACACAGCAAAGCCTTAATATAATACAAAGACTATCTCAGGTTTGAAAGGCAAGCCATTGCAGCTGTTTGCAGTATTGGGCCACATGAATAGAGTAAAGCAGCATTTCTGAGCAAGGACTCCAAACATTTCTCACTTTGTTCTATAATAATTCTTCACATCAAGTCAGACTTACTCTCACTGATTCAAGTCATTTACCGTCACCTCTAACAGCAATTAATACAAATACCATCATACCATCACTGAGCTAAGGTAAGCACTCACACACTGATTGTATAAATAGCTCAGGCAAATCTGAATCAAATACATCTTACTCATCCAAGTGTACTGTGATGGTTTCACTCTAGGCTTTCCTGGAGACCAGCTTGTAACCAGGAAGGAACTAGGAAGGTGATCACGGAAGTATTCCATGCTATTCCTTTACGTAACTTGAGGTATAAATAAAGCCAGCAGGAGGGACCTCGCTCTCTTCCTTTCCGGCGAGGTTCGAGAACGGTGGGTCCTGTCTCGGTCTGGCTTATCTGGAGCTGAGGCCTGCAGTGACTGCTGTGTCTGCCACACATGAGGGGAGAGTGCTGGGCCGTGTCCAGCCTTCCTGCTTCTCTCAAGGGAAGTGGTGAGATTTTGGCTAGTTCTTCAGTTTGCTGGTTACTGGGGTTTTAGATTGTGTGGACTTGTTTGGTTTTTGTCCTATTTTGTCCTTTTCCCTTCTCCCTCCCCCTCTTCCCTTTTAGGGAGCTATTTAGGATTTCTGGAGTTATAGTATATAATATTCTCATTGTATATACCTGTCTTATATGTAAAATATATATATTTTTTGCTATAGCTTTGGCTGCTTAAGTGGTGGTTTTTTTCTTCCCTCTCTGGGAAGCGGGTCTGTGTTGTCAAGTATCAGGGACTTGGCGGGAAGCCAGCTCAAAACTTGCACATATACTTTTTAATCCTGTGCACAATAAGAAAGCGTCTTCAGCTAGTCTGGAAGCTGAATGCTCTCTTTTGCCTCTGCTGCTATCCCTCAAACATGCACTGTTAAAGCAGAGTAGCACTTGTTAAATTGGGGAGTTCGTAAACAATTACCTGTTCTGGTTTTCTGCTTATAAGAATACTTAACACCTTGCTGAAGAAACTGGCCAGTAGAGGGTTTAGAGGAGATTCATTTAAGAGGAAGCTGTACAGTTTCAGGAGTAAAGATTCTTCTTCTCCCAGCCGATCGTTGATCTGTGAGACATCTGATGTAAGCAGCTCACACGATATGTTTGGGTATCTGGGGAAAAGACGAAAATTATCCATCACTCACAATTCAGAACTGTCATACTTCCAGCTCTGACTTCATAATCTAGTAAGGTTTCTGACCAAGTATTCAAGCAGGGTGGGTCTGCAGCACAGTCGCAAACTAATACAAGGTAACAAAACTGCACATTCAGCCTACAAGCTCTGTTTTCCTTCAAGAAACAGATAACTTTTCTCTTCAGTATCAACAGAACACCACTAAGCAAGCAGGGAAAGAAAAGAGTAAGCTTTTATTTTAAGATCTATTATAAACCCAGCTGTTTAAGTACTGATCTCTGATTTCAGAAGCCACTTTTTTTCAAAGAGAAAAAAGTTATTTATCAAGGAATTAAAGAAGACTGATAGTACTGAACCAACAGTGGGGAAGGAGAAGTGTTTCCCCCTTTCTAACATAACAGAGATTATATTAAAAAGGTCAAAAGGCATATCTTTGGGATTTTCTAATATACATGGCGATTATGTTGGAAGTCAGTAAACTGGTCAAAATCTGCCAAAGTCTGCGAAACTAGCTAGCACTGCTTCATGACAGTCAGAAGTACAGTTCAGAACACTGAGTAATTAAACTACAAAGCCATCAACACCAGTAATTTCCTGTATTTGACAGTACTATCACTCACTTACGCTAAGGGTCCTTTTGACAACATAGGCAGCTCAAGGTTTCTAAGTGAAAGACGCTTAAATTTCAAACTCTACTAGAAACACTTACAGGAGGCTTGGTTTACCAGAAATGGTGAAGTTCTTCAACTAAAAGTCTATCTTATTTCACATATTTTTTACACACCATTTTAAGAAAAAAAGCAGCTTTCTGCATGGACAACATTAAATTAGGCCAGAGCAGTAGAAGTACTTTCACACAAATTGCCAGACTAACTTTTGAGTTTGAACCTTCTCAGCAAGCCAGCTGAAGTCATGGCCATACTCAGGAAAATATGAGCAATTAGACCTTAAGTAGACTCTTCCAAGGAGTACTACAGGTCTTCCAATAATCATCTTCAAAATGTCTTACCAATCAATAAAACAAAGCTAATCACAGAACTATACTACCCAAAATGGGATTTTCATTCAACTGTTTTATTAATCACAACTATAAGATTCTTCATGTGAGTCCTGGTTGGACTTTTTTTTGCATCTCCTTTGAACAGCAATTGGTTTGGAAACATTTGTGGACAACAAGCTTCCCTTTGAAAAATATGCAAATATTAGAATTATTTATTTAAAAGTTCCATGAAGTCTCTTGAATACAAACTTAATCTAAAAGACAGCAGCATTGTACTACACACCAGCACACAGGGATTCGAAACATGCTATCAATTAACTAAGTTAAGTTAGTCCTCTTTCCACCCTCCAAATCTCTCCCATCCCAAAAGTTTTCCTACTTATATCGAATTTTTTCATCCATGTCTTGAGGTGGCTCTTCAATAATAAATGAAACTAAGTCTTCCAAACATTCTGACTTCAGCAGAAACTCTATAAGTTTGCGATTCTGAGCCTTGCACTCTTGCAGAACATCCTCTTCATCCATCAATTCCTTCAGTGTTACATCTTCTCTCTCTAGAAGTGTATCTATGTGCGATGACGAATGGAGATCAAATTTCCAAAACATGCTGGTCTGTATAAGAAGAACAGCAGTACATTAACAATAGCCATTATTCTAACATCCAAAGATAAAGTTAGATATGGTTTTACTTACACAAAAGGAACATGCTAATTCGTATTAAAGAAAAAATTATAACTTTGGTTTGCAATTTATAGAATTTGCTTTTCCCAATCTTTGTTTTTATCTATGATCTCAGATTCAGAACAACTTGCTCAGCAATTAATAGAGCTGGGAGAAGATAAAGTGGACAGTGCATAACTGCTCTACAGTACCACCCTCGCCATTGAAGAAAACACCTACAAGGGAGTAAGTTAAACTTTTAGGCAGCACACACCAAAGTGCAGGAGCTAATTTCAACACTTACTCTCATTGTCCCTGTCTCCACAAACTTGACACAGGAGGAACAAAGGACAATAAATGTTACACAAACATGTCAAAGGACAGTGGCCCCAACCACTGAAACATTTTAAGAAGCTGTTGCCAGAGATGCATAAGGATGTGCAATTTCACCTTTTCCTATAAAATGCTTTGGCATCTCTGTGTTAATTCTGTTTCTCTAAGACACCTGGCAAACAGTTACTACTGAGACAACTGTGCTAATAGAAGAGATTATATCAGTCTACAATATATCCAATAAATTCCTGCTTTCACCTCTCATTAAGCTCAATATAAGCATCTGTTTCATTCCCCTCACGCCCCCAAAAGAGGGCTTTTACATGACACTTGACCTCTGACACAGGATTAACTGGTCTTTGGTGAATACAGATTTTAAGTGGATTGAAAAGAGATACTAGAAAACAGTAAGAAAAAAAACTTTCCTGTCCTTACAATTGGAAGCAGCAATTAGCAAGACTTCCAGTATTCAGGCTTAATATTGAAAAGCTTGGTATATTCACTATGGAGAAGTTTTAATTGCTTTTAGGGTTTTCATTGCTTTAACCACTACATACTGATCACATATTACCACCTTATTTCAGAAGTTGTAACACACATAACGGTCCCTAGATTACATAGTTTTATGTTTAAAGATACAGGAGTCAAATAAAATCAACCAGGAAATGTATAGAGATATTCAACTGCAGTATCAGTACTTTTAATTATCTGAGATCTCATGCAAGTATTAAGCGGTTTAGAAGCAGAAAAAAAGTTTGTACTAAAAGTGTTAGTAAACTTACAAGAAGGGTTTAATACACCTGATCTCACAAATTAGCTTAAATCAAATTATACACTTGTTACGAAAAACATCAGCTTGTGGGTATTCAGGCTATACACAAAGAAGTAAGCAAGTGAAAGTACTGCATTATTAAAGTCACAGGATATTTTTCCTTGGGATTTTTAAACCTCTAGAAAGTAGATCAAATCCCTCCCCTTGCCCCAATTAGTGAAAGTACCATCTTTGTAAGTAACCACTACCAACACTAATTTCAGATGTAAATACCTCTGTAGTGATTAACGCTCATTTCAGTAGTATTCAATGGATTTCTCAGTTACTTATTTAAGAGAAATTCAACAATTGAAAATAGCAACAACAAAAAAAGAGGCATACTACTGCAAACATGTTACTGCGTTATTTCACAAACTGTCTCCCAGGAAAGCTCTTTTAGGGGGTGCTCCCTCAACATGTCAGGTGCCGGCCAGAGATTATTCCATCACTTCTCAACAGGAGCCCAGGTCCCTTGAAATAAGGAAAAATAAACAACATAAACTGTGCCAAAGGGAAATCCAGGAACCCTGAAGAGAATTTTCTTAGGCACTATCACTGGCAGTGTGATCAGCCTATCACAGTGTTGAATGGAAGTTTTAAAACAAAAACACATTATTGCTATTTTTCTCAGAGCCTACTGTTCTACGCTCCCCCCCAAAATCTACAAATTCTGAAATTCTGAATTATCATCATCCTTTTTCAAATTTCATTCCCATTAACAGAGTTAGAATTAGGCTTTCTGTCCACAAATCAAAAGCGTGCTCCTCCTAGAATTTCACTACTTATAATTTACAAAAAACTCCACAGGTCAAAGGGGTTGTGTTACTCCCAATGTTACTTCACTGTCAACATGAGCAGAAAAAGACATTTGGATTTAATGCAAGATACAAAAGACTACCAGATATGAGATATGCTCAAGATCAGATACTACAACAAGCAAAGCAGTCCAGAATAATGTTAAAAACTCTCAGATGTGGAAAGAAAAAATGTGTTAAAGATGGTAAAGCTGTCTCATGCATTTGACTGTCTTTTGCAACTTCAGCTAGTTTTCCATAATCTCTGAAAGTTTCCAGTAAGCAAGACTGACATCCAGTTCATTACACAGTACTTACGAAAGTTTACATCAACTTGCTGATGCACAACTTATGAGAATTCAAGATCCTAAGTAACACCTAATATCCAGCAAAATATTGCTTTGTTTTCTTGGTTAATATTGCGAACAAATTCTTCTCTGAATGAATGCTGAATAACATTCCATGAGTAAACACTTGACTTATATCTGAAAGGAAAAAAGTAGTTCAACAAAGCAAAGAAAGCCTGTCAACTGCTGAGATACAAGTAACTGAAATTCTCACTTGTATTATTTGCTAAAGGGAAGAAATAAAGCTTAGAAACAATCTTTTCAGACCAAAAATTGAATCGAAGTCTTCTGCCCACTACAAGGGAATAAATAACACCCTGTGTATTTTTAACAGTAACTAGTCAGTGGTTCTTTCTAGAGTGAAGTGCTTAAATGGCACCTCCACCAGAAATGGTAACAATTTTATCAGTAAGATTCTCTGTAGCTTCAAGTGATAATAGCTGTTAAACACCTTCCAGAAGAGACATTCATGTTTTCAAGCTACCAGACTAAGATGTGAATTCCACATTTAGTCAGAAAAGCATATGGTTTAATTTTGGACGTCTCCTATACTAAATCTTTTACAAAACAGACTAACAAGTCTTTAAGGCATCCAGAAGTCTTTTCAGTAAATAAGAAAACTAAAGTAAGCTGCTCATTTGAGTTAAACTCTTAAGCATCATATTTAGGTTAAACAAACATGAGAAACATGTGTTACAGTGAGTTACTTCTAACTTGGTACCTCATACTTCCACACTGGTAGCTGTAAGCAGACATGGGCATCTAGACCAGTTCAGAAGGAAAACTAGGAGGACCTCAGTAGCCAGCTGAAGGCTGTTTTACCTGACAACTATATATACGTTAAAGGCATATACACAGATCTTCTGGCAGGATCCTCACAGATTTTACTGCAATACCCAGTTTCACTTTTCAAGCAAGAGAAGCTTTGAGTGTACCAGTGTCAAGCTGAAAATTTTGTAATATTGAGATATTGTAATATTGAGAAATACTACCTATAGAGTTGTAACAAGAATTGTATTATAAAAAACCCAAACTCAGAACCTAACTGTCATTTTTCTTTGTGTACCACCGTATTTTCTTACTGTAGGGTTCAAGTGCACAGATGGGGGGGGTGGAAAATCAGTTACTTTTGTACAAACAAACCTTTCCATGACTGAAATACACCTTAAGTGATATAGCCTACTTCACCAAAACAGGTTTTTACAAATCCTGTGTAGCAATTATCAAAAGACAACCTAGTTGTGGATGCAAGAACAACCACCAAAGCAATCCTTGATGCCATCACAGGTTTTAAGACAGTCTTGCATTTCTTAATGATAAAAGCATTTCCAATGCAAACAAGCCCTTGCCTCCTTAAAAACCAAGTAAGTAGGTAGGTTTGAGGAAGGACAAAGTCATGGTGAAGACAATTTACCAACATTTTTCATGATAAAAGCATAAGAATTTATCTTCTAAGACCTTTAAACAGATTAAGAGTTTTATTTTAAATGCTAAGCATGCCCTTCTGCCAGCTTCACATAACCTCAACTAGTTGCTCTCTAGGTCTACTTAGTTAGATTCCATTTTTGAGGGTTTTTTCCTTTCTCCAATCAATAGAACATAATAAGGACACTGTACTATCACTTATGAAGTGCTTATTTTGACACTGAAAGTGGATCATCTGTCCAAAACAAAACTAAGCATGAATGCACGTCTGAAAAATATTTAGAGCTAAAGAGAATTACCAGTGATCCAAAATGACAAAGACACACCAGTGGCTAATTTTTAAACTGCCTACTGCACCCAGCCAGAGCATCACCCTCTGTAAACTTGCTGTCTTCAACTGCCTGTCCTTTGCAGGCTGGGGCACAATTCCTCATAGCATTAAATAGCCCATGAACTATTAAACAGGAAAATTAAGCACTTAGGCATTCACTCTGGAACTGAGAGCAAATAATGTGAAAAGAGAAAATAGCTGCATTCTAGCTTAAAGATCTGGACCAAAACAATTTTTTTCCATAAAGTAATGGTAATTTATACCAAGACAGTTGTTCTGTAATTGAATTTCCCACTTTTCCACTTTATGAATGCAAGAAAATCTTTCCTATATAGCAACACACTTATACTGCTTCTTCTGCATTGAGTTCAAAGGAAAAATAAGGAATTCTTTATCTAATTTATCCCACCAAAATAGTATGGTTTTTAAGTAGTGTGAAGACTCTGCTCTTAACTATTCCTTAGTTTTATTTCTAAATATTTCAAATAATACAACAGAGTCTATACTTACCCAATTACCTATCTGAAATACATTTATTTTCAATCGAAGAAGTGAGGTTTATTGAGTGTTATTAGCTAGAAAGATATAAGTTGTTGTTCAAAGTCCATAGATTTAGTTACAGGACTTTACATTACACCCAGTAATTACAAAAGAATAAAGGCAATTACACAGGAGAATTTTCATGCTACAGTCGCTACAATTCTTAAACAAAATGTAAGATCAATTTGACTTAGAATACAAGTCTCAAGTGAATGCAAAATAAGACGTAGCTGTTTCTTTGGTGTCAGAACAGCTTGTTCATGTCACCAAAGTGAGACACAGAAGAAATTAAATTTTGAGAAATACTCCATTACTTATATTATTATAAGCTAGTGAAGTTTCAAAGAAACTTTGTGGAGAAAGGAGACAAGAAATGGTTCGAAATTATTAGGAATTAAATAGAACAGAAAATACAAACACTTCTACCTCAACAATTTAATACATATTTCTAATACCACGCAATTCCTAGTCCAAGGGCATAGCAAACTAGAAGAGATACCAAAAGGGAAACAAAACGAACAAACAATTCTTTCATGGAAGGCTAGGAGATCTTGTGCAGGCTGGCTGCACCTCTCGTTTCACTGTGGGATTTCTGGATGCTTCACCCTCTCTCAGCCTGTTGGGCACAGGGGACTGCACAATAGGAGGTTATCAAGGACCCCTGATCCTTCTACAAAACTGCTGCCACTATCTCATCCAAGGGACCCCAGACATGGGATAAGAGCAGGCTGGAACTCAGGCACATCAAGGGAGGTAGAGGGCAACCTCTGTGCCCAAGGGGCAGCAGCAGCAGGGAACAGGGGAGCAATCCCACAAAAAAGGGGCCCTAAATCCACCTAACCCTCCTCCACATTTATGCACACTAGTTGCACTTCTACCTACGTAAGAACAATAAATACACATTTGTGGATGACAAGTTGACCACAAGCCAGCAGTGTGCCCTTGTGGCCAGGAGGTGCATCGGGAGGAGTGTGGCCAGCAGGTCGAGAGAGGTGATTCTGCCCTGCTACTCAGTCCTAGAGAGGCCATATCTGGAGTGCTGTGTCCAGTTCTGGTCCAGTTCAAGACAGACAAGGAGAAACCAGAGAAGGTTCAATAGAGGTTCACAAAGATGATGAAGGGTCTGGAGAATCTCTCTTATGAGGAAAGACTGCGGGAGCAGGGCCTGTTTAGTCTGGAGAAGAAAAGACTGAAAGGGGATCTCATCAATACATAAATGTCTCAAAGTCAGGTGCCAAGAGGATGGTGCCACTCTTTCCAGTGGTGTCCAGTGACTGAACAAGGCTTAAGAGTCATAAATTAAAATGCAAGAAGTTCCACATCAACGTGAGGAAGAACTTTGTTACATTGAGCTGGCAGAGCACTGGAACAGGCTGCCCAGGGAGGTCATGGAGTCTTTCTCTCTGGAAACATTCAAGACCCACCTGAACACGTTTCTACGTCATCTACTCTAAGTGACCTTGCCTTGGCAAAGGGGGTAGACTAGATGATCTCCAGAGGTCCCTTCCAATCCTAACTATGCTGTAATCCTGTGACTTTTTGCTATATACACACACACACATCATGTGCATACACACACATCCCCCTATTATGACCAAACAGCCCCATAATCAATAGCTTTGATATGCTGAAGTATGTTAAGTCCAAACTAACATTTACTCAAAGACACCAATCCCCCAAAATTCAAGAGGTCGTAACTGTTCAGAAGTACAACAATCAGTTGAAATCTACAGTCTGCAGTGAAAATGCAAGAGTAATTTTATACCAAGCAACAAGTATATCCTTGTAAATTCTTACACTACCTCAAACCACAGGTTAAGAAGTGTTAATAAATACAAATCTTAATTATCTGCATTAACTACAAATTAGTAGAGAAGATGAATCATTTTCTAGTAATTCCACATCAACTGCCAAACAATTGCACATTTAAAATATTCATCGGTCACAGAATTCAGTTAGATTTTTCCTTTTCTGAATTCTCCCAATTACCTTCAAAATGGCAACGAAGATATCTGTGCACCAA